GCTGACGGTTCCCGGACGAAGTTCCTGCAGCAGCGCACTGCTCACCGACAGCGATCGACGTGGCCCCCTTTGGCCCTCGCCCATGACGACCGGCCATCCTTTGTTAGGGCAGATCAGCCATGGGTGAAGATCGATGGCTGATAGTCGATAGTCGATGGGATGAGGTCAATGGACAACAAACGACGTTCCCGTGTCTGAGGCGTACGGCGCGTCTGTCGGCCTCACCCCGCAAAACCCTATCTATGCATGCGCCTCTCCGCCTCGCCTCCGCCGCGACACCACCATGACACCCAAAGGGTCGCCCAAGATACGCCAGTGACTAATAGAGGTGTCGTTATTAGGCAACGCCAACTACCCTCTCCATCTTCTCCGCAGGGCACCAGCGACTGCGCGTTTCGTTGGCGGCCAAGTTGGATCGAAATGTTACGTACTGGAAGACGGGGAAACGGGGATTTGATGCGAGTTTGACGGGCGAAAACAACGGTACAACGCGTGAATCCCCAGTATCCCCAGAGTTCCCGACGCCGGCATGTAGCTCGCCAGCCCAACCAAATTGACCAAAGCACACGTTTCCCCAGACCTGATGAACCTGGGGTAAGACCCAACGGATCAAGGCGGCTCAGGCTACCCCGTGTCCTGCACGTTGTTCCAACTACCCGTTGCGCGAAGTTTTGATAGACCGGCTCTACTTTGGCCCATAGACTTGTGAGGCGCTCAACTGCTTCATCACCAAGCCTCGCCGCCGCTCCTTGCACTGGGGGTCACGTCTCGTCTGACGCAGACGCGCGCCCGGCCCGAGCTCGGAATGCTGGCGACTGCCCGAGTCCAGGGAGGCTCGGGTCCCGGGCACAATCTGGGGTTTCATCACGCCAGCGCAGGCGGGCGTGGGCTTCAACAAGCCCCGCCGAAGAGCACTGACAGGTGCCTTGAAATTTCAATAATCGACGACTCGCGCACCTCGGCACGATTGAGTTTTCCCTCCTTGCGCCGATCCCAGCTTATCAAACCCCAAGAAGCTCCGAAAAAGCCCTAGAACTTCATTTACTGGTCGCTCAACAGAACCAAGCTCAGGGGGTTAAGCCGTTTGCACAGCGCAAACTCAATGCACCGTGGGCCCCTGAACCTTGGTCCCTTGAATCTTGAACTCTGGGCTTCGAGGAACGTCCATCCTCACCACCACAACCACGACCACCGCCGCCGCCACCACCACTGGAGGAGCAAGTCTGGTTCCAAGGGGGAATAACGACCCTGGAGTGGGGCACAGGGTTTGGATCGAGCCCGGACGCTTCCCACGCTTTGGGGCTTTGCTCCGACGGGGCTGGCTCTCATGATTGAGGTGCCGGGGTTCACAGTGGCGGCGGCTGGTCTTTTTGGCTTGTGAAAACAGCCCTCACCCCCCCTCTCTCTCTTCTTCCCCACCCTGCCTCCTCTGCTCAACGACTGCCGTGTGGACGAGCTCCTCCCGAGGCAGAAAAGCCCCCCTCTGTATCCTCTGTGGTGTCTATAGGAATGGACGCCCAAGAGACTACCAAGTCACCGCTCTCCGCATCATCCGTGGGATGAGACAGATGCGATGGAAAGAGGATTGCAAGGGGAGCTTGCGAGAGCTGTTGTTGCTGCTGCTGCTGCTGCTACCCACACAGCGCATATGCGGACAGAGCCTGGTCGACTTGGCGCCCATCGCAACATTGAGAAAGGGGGGGTCGCGCCGCTTCTGCAAACAATCTTCCCTTGAGCTTCTCGAAGCCAACTAGCACAGCGCCATCGTCACAAAATGCAAAGAGGCGCAGCAGCCACACCTTTCATCACGGTAGGTAGATGCACTCTTCATCACACTGTCCAAGCTCCCTCCCTCCATCATCCCATGTCGATTCAATAGTCGGATAATTGGACAGATGACTCTGCATATCGCGCCCAACCCTCTTGTTCCGAGTGGTCGAATCGTTCAACGCCGCGCCTCTGGACTCACGCTGGCGGCAACCCTTTGCCTTTTATGCTAGCCCTCTTGCGTGGGGGAATGGGTCTGTCCCTGGCCTGTTCACACGATTGCCCTGAATTGGGCCGACGATATCCAGCCCTAACCAGAAGGTGCCACGGGTCGCTCTAAGACATGGGAATGTTCGTCTTATCGCAGTGCCTGTCGTCGACGGCCTCTATGACTTCATTCGCGTTGACGCGGTTGTGGTCGGCATAGAAGCTTCCCTGGAAGGCTCGTGGAATAGGGGGGCATCACACGGCTACGAGCGCCGTTTTCAACACCCACCCTATCTCCTGCATTGTCAAATCTAGGGCTGGTGATGGCTGCACTGGCGTGCTTGACGAGATCCGAAAGGGAAGCTGTCTCTGACGGCGTCAAGGGGACCTGGGAGCTCTCAGGCCGTCATGCCTTTGATGGTGTCACCGGCGTCAGACGAGGTCTAAGCTAACAGGGCAACCCAAAAGACGCTCACAGGGTGTTAAAGTCTGGACAGCTACATCGCGCCCTGTAGAAGTGGAACATGCAGTAACAGCACCCCGCGAACTGTCAAAGTGTTGAGAAGCTTTCCACCACTCCCCTTCCCTCCTCTTTCACGCCTCTTCATCCTCCTGCCGCCTTTCCCTTCCGGCAGAGCTACCCACCCCCGGACGAAGCATCGAGCACGCCGCGCCGCGGGGGCATCTGTTTCACTCTGGACCCAGAACCCTGGTCAACTTGCTGTTTCCCGTCCCCCTTCATTACAATTTCCTTTTTGGCCCCCCATGAAACCCCCTCCGACAGAGCCTCGAGCATGCATGGCATCTGGCTCGGTCTTGTTTATTTGAGTTCTGGGGCGCGAAGCGAGCGTCTGTCAATCACTGGACTCCGTCAAGCATATGTGAGGTAGGCTGTCACGCACGCGGCTCAGTCTCCGAGGGAGTGAGGGACGAAGTGGAGGGGGGGCGACAGCGCGGGTGTTGTTGCCTTTAGGGGGATGCTGTTCGCCCTGAACCTGGCGATCAGCTCTCGCCTGGGCCGCTGTCGGCGATATGACTAGATCACCGGTCTCGCTGTCGGCGGTGATATGCTTTGATCAGCCTCTCCGTTTGTCGTCGGGGATTTTTTCGGCGCTGAACCCGCCTCCTGCTTTCAGCCACGAAGGAGGGGGGGGGGGCATGGTGCGCATCTCAAACTTCAGCGCCGCCGTGCGGACGCGAGGCCTGGTCGAGGCCTTTGGCCTCAACGGTTTGCGCAGAGAGCGAGGGAGATGGGTGGCGATTATTGAGAACAAGGAGGGGGTGATGTGTTTGTCCAAGCCTCATGCCGGCGACGCGCTCTAGGCGGGCGGCAAGCAGGGTGGCTCGAGGTCGAGAAAGAGGAAGCTGGAGCTTATGCAGGGCGTGCGAAAGTTTATGCGGTAATCTCCTGTGGATCGTCCTCTGCGTTCGAGGCTCCTGGCAACGCTGCGACTCCGTCTAGTGTGGAGCGAAGGAGGAAGAAGAGGGGAGGATGCCATCGGCGCCGTCAAAGGGGTCACGGCCTCATCCTCCTGTCTGGAGCTTCCCGTCGTGGTCCTGCAAACTCTAGGGACACTGCAGGTCGGTGCCTCGAGGTCCAAGAAGCAGCGAGGAGGTCTGCAGGTAAACCTGCTTGCAGTATATCAAGGGTCTTGGCCAAGGCCACTTTTGCTGCTGTCAAGCCTGTTGACAGAATGACACATGCAAGTGAAGCTGTAACGACGCACGTTCCTGGGCCCCTTTTATTCTCTCTTCTTCCTTTCTCTCGCTGTGGGATTCTTTTCTGCGCCTGTTGATTGCTGCTGGTGATGCTGTCTCGATGTTCGGAGACCTCGATGTTTGTGAGGTACGGCCAGGAGATGTAGCACTATCCACAGGTTTTCAAGCACTTATAAGGTTAGGTTGATCTCACACATTGTTTAGTCGTACTCCTCACATGCCTGTGTTGTGGCCCCATTGAAGATCTGGTTGGGTTTGCAATCAGGTGGCAGCTTAGTTCTGATCAATGCACCCGCCTGTTGAACAGCCTCGAGACGAAAATGTGTCGATTTGTGGCATATAAACAATACGGACGTTCAGTGTTTGCAAAACTCTGCTTGTGTTCGTAGCCTATAAGTCGCGTCCTTTCGTTTTGTCAGTCCACATTAGACTCCTGAACTGTATCAGGACGTAAACACACCCTTGCAATCTTTGACAGGAGCAGACATTCTTTCATGCTCATTATCCTTCAAATGAGTGACTTATTCGTTCTTCTGCCATCACGCAATGATTTCTTATAATTCTTGACGTCCTGAATTAAGTCCACAGCCCTATACTGCGATGCGTGCAAATGTTGGCAAGATTTGAGGCGAGACTTGTCTCAAGGCTCCCAGAAATTCCAAAGATTTTTATTTTTAGGATCTTTGATATCTGCCATGTGTTTCATGACATCTTGGAGACTTTTCATTTATTACAATCATGATAGCTTACTTGAGGAACATTTCTACAACACGTTCGGGTATTCATACCTCGAACATATGCTGATTTCCTCTGACGTCTCGGTCAAGGGTATTAAGTTGTCCCTCATTGGTCATTGCCCCGATGGTATACAGATGGAATCTTTTAGGGGCCTAGGAAGTCTTTCGATCGAATCCGGAATAAGTGAGGCTGCCTCCAAGCGTATATTACTCAGTATAGGGGAGAAGGCAGGCAGTCATCGTTTCTCATTGTAAATGGGTTGAACCTCCGAGGCGATGGCGGAAGACCGTTTGGTTCGCACGTCATGCGGGATTCTTGACAAGCCTCCTCGCTATCTTCACTATCTTTATGATGGGTATATATTCGATTCTCAAATTGCGGTTTTGCCCCAATTTCATGTATTGTGCGTTTCAAGACTCAGTATACGGATAATCGATGGGCCATGGGGCTTGACCTAGTAGCCGATCAACACCAGCGATTCTCTAATCACATGTAACTGGACGAAGGCCCTCGGTAGTGCTGATGTGTGACTTCAGACTGATGAATAGACTTCACGACCTTTGCTATTCTCAAAACTGACGTGAGGGCTGGCGTAGTGTCAGGACCTGAGGGAGGTATGAGACCGATAGGGGGTTGCCTGTTGTTTGATCGTAGGAATCAAGAAGAGAGTACCGAGCACCATAAAGGAATAGTTACAAGGAAGGCCAATGGACCAAGGTCTAGAGAGGGGTATCGATTATTCTATCTTCCTTGAGACCACCAAGAGACCAACAGTTGATCCCTTCACTCGTTGCACAAGACTCCTTGACACGTCGACTTCGATACCTGGAGACTGTTTTTCGATGACAGATCACCAGCATCAGCGGAGAAGCCCTTCTGTTCTCAGCTTTAAAGCTTCACATGTATCTTCGAGGCCTATGATGGCAGTTGTTTCGCTAGTCGAAGACATGTTCCTTGCACCAGAGCACAACTTTGAACGACAACTTTACGCAAGCAATACAGATATAACCAGAACTATTGTTGAGAGGGCTTCACTGCTCATGTGAACCCTGATTCATTGCTTTGGCTGTGCCTGAGAGCTCTGAATACGTAGGGTAGGTGATATAAATCTTGTGATGTGATTGATACTATGTCTATGAATTATCGCTGCCCCCGTGAGTCAGATGTACCCATCTGATTCACCGATCACGTAAGCTGTGATTCACGTGCTCCTGGGAGCTGTGAATCCGCGGCCACGGTGATCACCGTATCGGTGATTCCCAATCGAGATCACCGCCCTAGGGAATTCCCTGATATTGGTTCAACAACTATCGACAATTTCGTAAAACTGTAGTAGTCCCCTGGTCAGCAATAAGGAGATCAGAGACACTCGAGTGTGACTGACTTCAAAGGAGGGAAGATTTGAATCGTGAGTAGCAGACCTAACAGGGCCGCGATTCGTTGATACAGCCGATAGAGAAGCAAACATGGCAAATCTTAGAGCCGTTCACGCAAGCACCGCACAACTCGGGGAAGCGCTGGCGCCTCTCGACGGCATCCTTGGAGGCCTCGCTGGGCACGACGGGTGCAGCCATGGCCATAGATGCGAGGACAGACAAGAACAAGTAGGGGATCTTCATTTCGTCTCGAATCTTTAGATGCTGGTTATTCGAGTGTGATGTGGATGTTCGGTGGTATTTTGGGCTGTTGGAAACGACGCGGGACTGTCTGACCTTTATACAACTGGCATGGCGAGAAAACGAGCAAAAATTATAGCCGCTAGCTGGTAATGGTAGGTTGGAAGAAAGATGCATGCATGAATCCTTCAGAGGTGACTGTCAAGGTTCTCAGTAACAACGTTGCGCAGCTTGCCGGCCAGCCAAGATGATTATGTGAGCACCGTATACGTAGCAAGTGGTGTGGCTCGAGCTGTCGTCGAACGCTACGGGGGTATTGCCGTCCGTTCCCTGGAAGCAACTTTGGTCGTACAAACTGCAATTCCCGAAGGTAGTTGGTAGCAACTAATTGTCTTGCAGGTTTTACACTTGACGCGAGTGATTTCTGGTGGCAACCGCTATATCTTGATGGACGGGATACCTGAAAGCAGCAGGCCCAAAGGCCTAGTATCACATCGATGCAGTTTGATCCCTGGTGAAGGATCATGCAACACCACTAAAAATGGGATTGTAATGCACGACCAATGCGCCTAGGTCCAGAATCCTTCACTTGTATGCAGTTCCTCATAGGCCAACCCAAGGCATTCTTCACCACGGAGTCCATTGGACCTGGCCGAGTTAGGCAGCCTGATTGACGAGGAGAACAACCTCATGCCGGCATGAGAGAACGCGGGGTCACTTGGATGAATTGGCCTTTCCGATATGGATTCTTCTTTGATTAGATCTGCAAACAGTTCGTGACGAAGCCCGGCTTTGGAACAAGCCTAAAATACCACATAAAGAACTTCTCACACTGCCACCTTGCACCACAAATCACCCAGTCAGTCCGATTCACAATCTTTGATCCACTTTCAATACCAAGCCGTGAGGTGTGCCAGTGGTGCCTCGCAAGGTGACTCAATGAATGTGTGGATTGAAGCATACCACCATGTGCCCTCTCTATATCTGCCCAGCTAGGTAAGCTGTCAGCCCATCTCATGCACCTGTCCCCTATTGTGGCTGTTTCCTTGGTCCATCTCGTAAGCCACTGGTTGTTGGAATGAAGAATGGGCTTCCGGCGAGTACGGCCTGTGCATATCACTGACTGTCTGACCGTCATAAGCCGAAGAATCGGGCCGTCCATAGTCTGTGGACTGGACGGGCGAAATCATGCCGCTTTTTGAGCCGTACAGTTCGCTACGTGGTGATGGTAGTGGGTACACCTGTCGGTCAGGCTCGGGATAGACTTGTTGAACCGAAGGATAGCCGCCGTCAATATTCTCTGCCGGCGAGTTTCGTTTCCGCGTGGATCTTTTACGAAAGAAGAAAATGGCGACAGCGACGAGAGCGATCAAGGCAACGCCTCCGACTACACCACCAACTATCGCACCAACGGGCACACTACTTCCTTTCGACTCGTTTGACGAATTTAAGGAATCCGAAGTGGAGATTGGTGTTGTTCCTGTTCTTGAGGAGGCTGTCACGGGAGTCGAATCGCTCTGTGATTCCTCGGTCGTCCTTGCAATATTGGAGACGACTGTCGTCTCAAAAGAACGGCCTACCTGTCCTTCATAGGTAAAGTCGGCACTTTGTGCCACGGTTACGGGCGTCGAGGCACATCTGTAGTCGCGTATGCCTTCTGGATAAGCGTATGTACGACAGTATGGTGCTGCTCCATCGGTGCTTTGCGGCGGTGATGTCAGTGCCTGGTACGGATGATACAGCCACAAGCTTTGTTGGGAGGAACTGACCATTGCAGGTTGAACTTATTGCTTTGGCAAACGTCATTACATAGCCCAGGGTCGGCTGCCATCGCGTCGCGCTCGTAGCATTTAATTTTGGCAGTTACATTCTTGCTGATGCCACAGAAGACGGCATTGAGCCCGTTTGCTTTGACCCAGTTGCAGCGCTCGCCGTTTTCGCAGACAATGTCGTTGCCAGGCGAGGCTGAAAGGTAGCCACAGACAGAGTCAGGGGCAATGGTTCGAGTATACGTCCGGCCAGCACCATCTGTTTGGCGCCTATCCAGTCCTTGTATAGGAGGCGTCGGTACTGGCGCTTCTTGATGCCTTCTTATGTCATTCGTGATAGTTACCATGCTCGGATGGACGTATGCGCCTGCGGTCTGTACAGCAAGGCATGCGATAAGCTTCGTGAAAAGCCGCACCATATTGATCGATCTATGTCGCAATGAACAGTCCTTTCACAGGATCGGAACAATTGGGCAAGTTGTGGTGTACTGATTCCAGATTGAGAGGACACCAACAGTGATAAGGCAGGAGCTCACTACTCTGCGAGACCTCGGTCTCGACTCCGTGCTCGAGACACGACTAATCAGGTAGCGGATGCCATAGAATAGGTCCAGGAATGCCAGTCGCTACATATGCGGTGAGGCTGAATCACCAAGTGATACTGACCCAGAACAGTTTGGCTTCTCTCAAACTGGACTGAGCGTTTCCTGGAACCTGTGGCTCCTTAGTTCGTTCTTACTGCCAAGAACGGCGATGTTACGCATGAGCAAGAGGCTGGGGACCAATCGAGCAATGAAGTCGGAACTTTATGTTGCGCTAGTGGCTTGGTCTGCAGGGCTGAATCCCATGAAACTAGATAAGCTGCGATCGATGTTCGAGGCAGAGCCACCTCCGGTTTTAGAGTTTGGCGGCTGAGGCCCGTCGTTATTTTGAATGCCGCCTAGGGCCTACAGAAAAGTAGTTCACAACTTCTTTGACACATGATCAACCTCATGTCGTTAAGAGACCAGATCCAAAGCGAACACAGACAGCCGCCATCTGGCACGCTAATGAGCGAAAAGCACGGAGTTGAAGAGAAGCTAGCATCGAGGTGGGTGCCACAGATTTGCTAAGACAGCCCAGTCTCGAACTCGGTAGTGAGTTTTCAGCGTCACGATGGGTCCGAGCAAAACTGCTGAGAGGATTTCGTGTTGAACTTACATCGTGCTGGGTGAGAGTGGCGATGTTGGAGCTCGAGGGATGAGACTTGTAACATGAACTTCTTGATACTAATCTCCTGACGTCGAATTTGAAGCTATCAGGGCCCTACAGAGCTAAAATAATGGCGCTCACAAGCCATGGCATGCACCATCCCCAAGAACCCAAAGCCAGAGGGGCAGTAGCTCCATTGACCGGCTGGTTTCTAATTCGTTCGGCCTCGGCAGTAAGATCTGGACACTTTCCATCGACCAGATCCTGCATAGAGGATCTTTTCTGGATAGCAGACTTGGTGGTGGTAGAACTTGATGGTTGACACTCATCTTCAGCGTTCGTACGCCGAAACTGAATCACACGTGCCCAGATGGCTGCCTTTTGGTCGATACTGAATCCTCCACCAGTGGCATCACCTCTGCAACTTGAGAACTGGGCTTCAAGTCAGAAAACGCCGCCATGCTCCATAAATGTACGACTCAAAGGGACCTACACTCATAAAATTTGTAATGTTTCGAGCGTTCGTCTCAAAACACGGCATCTGCGAGCAGCTGTACATAGTGCCCTTCAAGCCGCTGGTTTGGGTTGAAGAAAGCAGACCAGTATTAGCGACACAGTCTTGCTCACCGTCTTCAATTTGTTTGCTGAAGGTATGTCGTAAGCCCAGCCAATGCCCAATGTTGTGGATCAAAGTTGGCGAAACGTCGCTGATGTGAGCCTGTCTCATAACGATGCCGTCTATGAGGCCACTGTTGTCTTCGGGAAACGTGGAATACTGTTTCGCAGTAGTCAGTCTTTGCGAAAGTGTACGCGGGTGATGATTGAGGTGATACAGCACGTACCTCGTTGATTTCCCTCTCGTCATCACCCTCCCCTTTCTTCAAGTCGGTCACTAGCCACACGTTAAGTGACATTTTATCGCCTTTCCGGGTTTCCCCCATCCAAGTCTCGAGCCTGTCTTCTTTATATCTGACCGTAGTCCAGTCTGCGTCATCTTTGTCCGGAGTGTAGAAGTTTACACCCACGTATTTAAAGCTTATGTTCCGAAGTCCAAATACCGACTGGACGTATTCGGCCTTGTAATTGTCAGTGGTGGGATCAAGACTACACGGAGCAGCAAAGAGATGCGGTTGCCACTTACACTAGCTGTGATCCTCTCCGATAACTGATTAGGACGCTCGGCAGTCTGGCTCGGCAACATATAGTGAAAGTACAAGTCGAAATCCAGGCTCGTGACGACCTTGCAATTTGCCTGTCTCTTGGCAACGGGTGACTTGAACCTACTCGGCCACCTCTCCTCTTCCATACCCCGCCTAGTCAGGCCAACATCACAATTTGACGCCACAGCCGGAATTGTGACCTGCACATCGTCACCAATTTGAGCATCGTTTTCGACAAAGTACTCGAACATCGCGGCTTCCAGAATGGCGACGTCTTGTGCGTCTGCATCAGAGATGACCGTAAAGGGGAGGTTTGCCTCAGCCTCGGCATCATGTTGTTCGGGCGTAGTAGTATCGGGTGGGGTCTCTTCAGAAGACTCTGTTCCGTCTGACAAGTCAATGCCGAGGAACCCTGTTCCATCGCTAGGCTTAGCAGTAGAAAGCGGCGCGAGTGAGGAAGAGCCCTGCGTCGGTCTTGAGCTGCCACTGGAAGACTCTCCTGCACGAGTCGTATCAGTCGAGATTCTTACAGAGGTGGATGTTGTTTGTGGGAAGTTATCACCTCCGCGTCGTGTGCTTGCAGAAGGCTGATCCCGAGTTGTTGCCTCTTCATTGGTGGCGCGGGAGGTGGCAGAGGTCTCACCGTTGGGACTTGAGCCTCGAGCATCCGTCTGTGCTGGCCTTTCACTGGCGGTGCCTGGGCTCCCATCGGTATTTCCGGGAGCCCTGTTACTTGGAGATGCTTCATCAGTGGTGGCCGGAGTTCCAGTCTTATCGCTTACTGGTGATTGATCAGGACTGCCCAGGGCTTCACGTGGGGGACTTGAAGGAGTTATACCAGAATTCCTCGGGTTCGTAGGGCTCGGGGACGCCCCGCCGCCACCAGGCACGTCGGGACTGGTAGTCGTAGCCTCTGGGCTTGCATTGGGCTCCGGAGCTCTGCTCATGCTTGTGACTTGCTGTGGAGTAACTGAATCAGGAGTATCCCTTGTCGGTGCTGGGGCCGGAGAGCCTGCTGGAGGCCGGCTTTCCGAGACCTCATTCTGCGCACTCGCCTGTGGTGTGACTTCTGCGCCCTGGGCACTCGTAGGCCCATCCACGGGCGCGGAGCTCTGTCCTACAGCAGCCTGCGTAGTTGACGGAGGAGGCAGGATTCCTTCTACCACCGTCGAACTTGGGGGTTGTTCGATGGGCAGAGACGGCTCCGTGGGCTCTGGGTTGGCCAGAGGTGAAGTAGGTGCCGGTTCGAATACTGTCGCAGTAGTAGTATCAGCGATCACGCCTTCGGTGGCGCTCGTTGTTGGAACAACAGGTGCCGGTAAGGAGCTCTCAGGTGGTGGTATAGCTTCCAAGGGAGTATCACTGGGAGGCGTACCGGGGGGCTCTACTGGGACTGCCGATGGTTCTGGCGGGTCAACAGGACCGGGGCCGTTGTCTATGGGTTGGACTGCGCTCGGGACTGCTTCAGTCGACTGAGAATCTGCAGCACGGCTGCCTAACAGCAATACAAGCCAAAGGCTTGACGTAAGAAAATGTTTCATTGCTGTGAAGTGTGATATCCAGTATCAATGGAAGAGTTGTGGCCTTTTTGGAGAATTTGAGCTCTACGATAAGACAGCTGCAGGAGGTACCTTAGCAATTAAGGCTGCCGTCGGGGTTTTTGGATGGTCTAGAATGGCCCCTGGGGCATCTTTATTGTCTGGATAGAATCGTAACAGCATGGAAAACGCCATGTGCCACCATCCCACAAATCCGTCTCAGCCTTCTAGGCTTGCAAGAACCACACAGCCTGTCTATTAGCGCGCACGAGCTGCAAACAAAAGAGGTCAAGAGGCACATCTACTATAGAAGAGGCGGTGTCGATATGAGAGTGACATCCACAGGCCAGCTGAAGGGTCCGTCTGGTAACCCTAATAGCTCTTGGGGCTGAAAGACGCGAGGTTGTTCATGGACTTGGGACGAAAACGGTGTTGTCCTGGTGAGCCTTGTCTTACCCCGGACTTTGGCGCCGGCCTCGATCAAGCTAACAAACTCCAGCAAGCCAGAAACTAATGTGATGTGACCAAGCGACGACTGCTGATGAATTAAAGTTTGGACGTTAAACGTGTCTTGTCACGACTGCTCAGCTGTCGGAGGCTTGTAAGCTGCTGCGCTACAGAAAGCCTAAGTTAATTCCCGCTACAGGAACAAAGAAATGCATAGCTTCCTCAAGCCATTTTAATGCCCGCGACCATGATAGGTGCCTCCCGAGGTGCCTAAGAGACGTGTTTCCAAACGTGTGAAGCTTCGTTTGTGTCTTCGTAGCCCACTACCAGCCCACCTTGCTGCGTGTTGATGAATTGATATCAACGGATTCAACCAGTGATAAAGACGTGAAGGCGTATTCCGGCATTATCGAATGCATAGTAGATCCCTCAAGCAGACATGCAAGGCGATACCTCTATCCATTCAAATGGTAATGTTCGTACAAGTTAGCGGTGCGAGGCGTCCGCTATCTCGAACGTCCTAGACCATGCCGACACATGTGTTTCTTGGCATTTCAGGGCTGAAAATTTCAGACCTACCACACAGATGAGGCCGTGGTTCTGGATCAAGTAAGTATTCTGTGAGAGCATGATCATGAAGGACGCTGTGCCACTAAGGTGGAGAGCTGAGAAATGATCGCCCCATCGAACACCAGTTTCCTCCATCTCGCTCACATGAGGTGCGATATCCATGATGGCTTATGGCCCAGGAGTCGCTTTCATTCACGTCTCCCGTGCAGTTGGGTCAGGGCTGGTATGAACACGAAGAAACACGTGGTATGAATAATTCGACTCGGAATGCTGCCTTACTCGAGCTTCCCAGCTTGCATTTCTCTCCAGCATCAATCATTTGACATCCTCAGTGGTGAAGCTCTGGCAGGTGTAGAAGCCGTCGCTACCAGTCTCACAGCCCTGCCTATCCAGATAGACTGCCTTCATGTTGAAGTAACATAGCGGGATCTGCCCAGGAACCAGGGCGTCGGTCCGCACAGACGAATCTCCAGCGCTGTTCAGGGCGCAATCGAGCAGAATTCGGTAGTATGCCATGCGGTTTCCCAGTCCGTACTCAGCCATGGCTTCGTAGACCTCAGCCGGTGCTTCATAGAAACTGCCCAAGCCCTCTCCAACCTTCGCAACGTACATGCAGTGGTCAACCTCACCGACTCTGACGGGCATCCACTGACGGCCCAGCGGCGTGCCACAGAGCTCAAGGGTGTTGTCGTGGCGGTCCACCAGGAGGTAGTAGCCGCTCGACTGCAGGATCTGGTCCACAACCTTCATCTTGACTGCGTCGACGGTAGCCTGAAGAGCACCAGTGACATCGGCAGAGTCGTTCTCTAGCAGCCACCAGCCGCCACTGAAGAACTTGGCGATACTGCTCTGGAAGGGTTCCGACCCGGGGCCCGCCGGAAGAGCATTGTAATCTCCCGGATCAGTCGCCCTGCCCACGGCGGCTCCCAGCGCCCTGGAAATCCGTGCACTCGTCTTCTCGAAAGCGGCTCCCATGGCGGCTCCGATGTCATCAACAAGGTCCTTTTCCTCCTCAGCTGCAGCGCCGAACATGGCAGACAGGAAACTGAGACCACCTCCGAGGATGGCTCCCTGAACATGGTGTTAGCATCGGATCTCGACTGTTCATCATCGGTCTGCGGCACGTACATTGGGGCTCATGCCTGCAACGGCGCCACCCGCTCCAGCCGCGGCAGTCAACCACTTCAGCACATCTCCACCAGAACCCTGATCACCACCGAGCTTCTCGACCATGGTTGGAATGGCCAGGGTGTTGAGCATCGTCTTCTCAAAGAGCTCGTTGTAGAGGGCCGTAAGCTTTTGGTGCAGTCCATTCACCGCCATGAAAACCCAGTATCCAAGGCGTTGGTTAGGATACTCCGTCAAGGTGTCAAAGTACGTTGCGCAATCGCCCTGCTCGATGCCGGGATTGCACTCGTTCTTGACGCTGGAGCAACCGTCCGCATTCGTGCCAGGGTCACCAGTGATGAGCCTTTCGAGGATCTTGACCCAATCTGTCGGATCACCCTCTGAATGATAGATTTCGAGATTAGCATTTGATACTTGCGGGGGGTCAGCCATCTGCAACATACTTCTGTCATTGGTGATAAAGTTGTCGAGGAAAGAGGCGGCCCCAGTTTCCTCCCATGCAGCTCTGGCTCCATCTGGATTTGAGAGATCACGGAGGCCGCAGAGCTTTGCTTTGTCGTTGAAGGGTTCGTCTTGGCGTCTGCTGAACCGGCTGGTGTCGTACAGCGGAGATGCCGTCGCTGAGACTACAAGTCCCAGAATCATGGCGGAGGAGTGCATTCTGACGGAGGCGAACGATAAAGAAATATAGGTGAGTTGACGATGCAATAAAACTGGCAAGGAAACTGTGGTGTTACAAGCCTGAGAGTATGTTTGAGATGATGATGAATTATCTCCTGTCGACCATGAGAGGCTTCTGTCATTTTATAGATTTCTTGAAAGTGAGTATCGTGTAGACCAGCTTCATACATCAGTGGACTGTTGCGAGGCGCAGCCCTGCCGCTCTCGGAAATGAATGGCAGCCGACACGCGCTACCATACTCAACCGGATCTTGCAGGGCACCTGAATCTAGAGTCCATGGGAATCCTCAGCGGCACAAGCAGCATCGTGGCGACAGTTGCCGTCATTGCGGCACAGGCGAGAAGTCCTACGACGATGTGTAGGGGGGCACTCCGCCTCGGCCTGCAGACTTGGTGTTGCTTGCCCCCAGGTTGGGAAGACTTGTTTGCCGCGGTGGTCAAGCCTTTTGCTTCGGGTCTAATTCAAGCCACTGTCCTTCTCAGTTGGGAAGCCGAAAGGATTTTGGACAGGGTAGGAAATGGGCTGGCGGCCTGCAAGGAACTTTTGTAATCGGACGGGAATGCAGCTTCAGATCGTCACCAAAGATCGCCACGTCGATCTTGACCTTAATCGCAACCTTATGTCCTATGATAACTTGGCAGGCCTGGTCAATTTTGACGCCACGAGCCCTATGGTCTATTTTCGTCGTCGCCGATTGACAAACAACAGATCTCGACTAGGGCCGTGGAAGGCGATCTCGCAGGCTATGGCGCACTTGCGCCAATAGCTCATCTCTTTGGCTTCCGATTGCTATCGTTATCGGCGTCTGCGCTTGCGCGCAGACCCTCGCCAAACGTCCCAACATGGAACTCGTCACCTGTGAGGGCATGCAGTGGCAAACAACCACATGCTGCTTCGCACGCAGATAGGATTCCCGTGCCGCAATTCTATGAATAGGCCGCCGAATATCGACCAGTCCCTTCGCGAGGGGAGTCGTTTCAGTCGAAGATGTTGCAGGCGGCTCGTTGGGAGAACGACTGAAGGTCATCCTAGGGCGTCTAAGCTGGCATATTTCACAAATGCAGTGTGGTGCCAACCGTATAACTGAGGTGCAACAGTAGGTTCAGCAATGAGCACAGACCGGGACAGGACGCATTTTTGGAATGCGCTACGCAACTACAAACAGCAAACGGCAGTATGCATCATGGTGGTCCAAGGCGGTGAAGGAAATCGTCAATTCATCGCAACAGGGATATATAGACTCGGGATATAGACATGTAAAGACGGCTGGCTGAAGGACAGTTTCGTGTACTGAGGAAGGTCGCTTTTATAACCTAGCACACGTATCATGCCCGTCGTTCAAGGCGAGAGCTTACTCGGGCTTGGCAGCAGGAGCAGCATCGGCGGGCGCAGGCTTGGCGAGCTCGTCGAGCACGGGCTTCTCAAGAGCTTCGGGCTTGGTGGTGCTGGCCCAGCGTCCCTTGACCTTGCCGTCGCGGCCGACAAGGAACTTCTCAAAGTTCCACTTGATGCGCTTGAGGCCCATGATACCGGGCTTCACATCCTTGAGCCAGGTGAAGAGGGGGTTGGCCGCATCGCCGTTGACGTCGGACTTGGCCATAATGGGGAAGGTGACACCGTAGTTGAGCTGGCAGAAGCTCTGGATGTCGTCGTCGGTACCGGGGTCCTGGCCGGCGAACTGGTTGCAGGGGAAGCCGAGGATGACAAAGTCATCACCGTGCTTCTCCTTGATGGACTTGTAGAGCTTCTCGAGGCCCTCAAATTGCGGTGTGAAACCGCACTTGGAGGCCGTGTTGACGATGAGGACGACCTTGCCCTTGTAATCGGCGGTGGGGGTCTCCTGGCCGCGCTCTGATCAATGTGTTAGCGGACAGTCCAATTGAAGCGCGCATGGGGGCCAGACACGTACTGTCAAGCGGCTTGAAGTCGTAGAAGCTGGTAGCGGATGCCATGGTTGTTCGTGTTCGTATTGAGTCGGAAGGCGGGGTGTATCTCAACGTCACGGAAGTGTTTGTCGGGCGACGGTGTTGTATGTAGTACGGTTGTTGTTTTTGTAGGGAGCAAGTTTCCAAACGGGCGAGGGTGCCAGTAGATTTGTGATTAAGGCGGGGTCTGTATGCGAGCTGGCGAAAATGCTGCGACACGAACCGAGGACATGTCATGGCCGGGCAGGGTGTCGTTTTGGCCTAGTTTCCGTCATCGAAGATGCTTGAAGCTGTTCTTTCCAGTGGGACCACAGCATGAGCTGTTGTGGAACATGCGACTACTGGAGGGGGAGGGGGGGGAGGGGTGGCAAGGGTCCTGGATCCGGGTCTGCCGACCACCCGACAGCGCGTTTTGGGCCAGAATGGGGCGACCGGGGCACATGTTCTTCCGCTTCCCGCGTGTGAGCCGAGGTGCGCGAGTCATTAATAAGCAGGCTGTCATGCTGCTGAACCAATCACGATCGCGCCGAACGTCAGGCGAACGCACCATCGGCCTTTTGCTTCGTCCCTTTCGGCGATTATGGACACCCAGGCATCGGTCGCCTCGACCTGGAATCGTTGGGAGAATCGCGCGTCGCGCTCGTCAAAAGGCCGTGTGCCTTATCGATAAGAGCTTAACCCCGCCATTCGAGCTCTGGCTCTTGGATGCCCCTCCGCCATTGCCTCTCGTTCGTTGTAGCCAGCCGCCCGCCATGGGTAACGGTGTCAAAAAGAGGAAGAAGGCTACCCAGGCTCTGCGTGCCTTGCATCCCCAAGCCACACAATCCATCTACTCCCAGCTGCGCACAATGGACCCCCAATCAAAAAAGAACATTGTCATTGTCGGTATGTGAGCACTGTGACTCTGCGTGTAGGCGCCACCGTGGCTCGAGCTCTGACGACATCGACCAGGCGGCGGCATCATTGGCTCAACGACAGCTTACTTCCTCTCTCGACATCCCAAATTTAACCCCACGCTGCACAAGATTACCCTTCTCGAGGCCACCTCCATCGCGGCCGGCGCCTCGGGCAAAGCTGGCGGCCTCCTCGCGCTCTGGGCCTATCCGCAGCCTCTGGTGCCGCTTTCCTACCGCCTTCATGCCGAGCTCGCAGCCGAGCATGGCGGTGCCGAACGCTGGGGATACCGAAGGGTCGGATGCGGCAGCTTCGACGCAACAGTCACCCGTGCCAAGCTCGACGCCGTAGAGCAAGCCTCCGCGGCCCGGGCCGCTGCCGTACCTGGTGCGAATGACGGAGAAGAACAAAAAGGTTGGGAGCGGCTCCCGAAACAGGACGACGCGGCGGAAGCTCTGCTGGCAGATTCGGTGGTCCCCAAGGACCTCGATTGGGTCGATCACGAAATCATCGACTCGTACCAGGAAATGGGCCACCCCGGCGCGACGGAAACCGCACAGGTCCACCCCTTCCACTTCACAACGTCCATGGCGGCCCTCGCAGCCGAGAAAGGCGTCGACATTCGCACGCGCGCAAAGCTCACCAAGATCAACTCGTCGCCGACCGGCGTCGAATCGGTGGAGTATCTCGACCGCGACACGTCCGAGACGCACACCCTGTCCGACATTACAGATGTCATCGTCACCGCCGGCCCCTGGACCGGCAAGCTGCTCCCAAAATCCAAGGTCGAGGGCCTGCGCGCCCACAGCGTCGTCTACGACGCGACCGTCTCTCCCTACGCCGTCTTCACCCGCGTCCTGCTGCCCGAGGACTACGTCCCCGCCCACCGCGTCGTCAAGGGCCAGCGGCGCAAGCACAAGCGCATCGTCGACCCGGAGATCTACGCCCGCCCCTTTGGCGAGGTCTACGCCTGCGGCGAGCCCGACCGCACCGACCCGCTGCCCGACACGGCAGACCTCGTCCGCGTCGACGAGGCCAACTGCGACGACCTGCTCGCCTACATTGCCACGTTCAGCCCGCAGCTGGCAGCCGCCAACGTCAAAGCCAAGCAGGCGTGCTACTTGCCGCAGCGCGAGGGCGGGCCGCTGATCGGCGCGACGTCAACGCCGGGGCTGTGGGTCGCGGCTGGGCACACGTGCTGGGGGATCCAGAACGGGCCGGCGACGGGGAAGCTCATGGCCGAGTATGTGATGGACGGGAAGACGAGCAGCTCTGATATCAGCGAGATGGACCCCAGGCGGTACAGTCGCGTGTGAACATGGACCATCGCATAGTGCATAGGTGGTGCACGGCACAGTTCAACGAACATGAGAATGAGAACGAGAATACCTTACGACACTGGTAATCAAGCTGGGGAATCCAAATATTATGTGGATGAACAGTCGCTAGCCTCCACGAGACAGGAAGTCTAATACCTAATAGCCGTCGGTCCAGCCGAGGCTCCACTTAGGTTCGTCACATTGTGACGCTCCCGACGGGTCTCTAGGTCTACGACAGCGAAAATAAACAAAAGTTCGACTTGACAATGCTGAACGGCACGGGGGACAAGAATCACACAAGTCATAACGGTATCTCTATTGATGCGCCCATGTATGGCACTGACACTCGTCTCCACCTTCGGCCTCGTGGCACCTTGCAATCCATCCCATACGAAACCCGGCCCATTTTGACACACATGTGCGCTCGTTTCCAAATCCAATCATGATGCTATTTCTCCATGCACAACTCCAATGTACGAAATATGGGACGAACCACGAGAACACACAGAAAAGGAAAAAATAAATAAGAGTCGACGCCATGCGTCCGCAATTCCCCCGGGATAGCGACTGCCCGGTCGGCCTCTATCCCGAGATTTGGTCCCTCGCCCGCGGGGTCGTCAACGGACCCCCACTTTGGTGGGTGAAAGGGGGGTTTTGTGGCTTGGGAGCCTTTTGGGGCGGTGCCCCACAGGTGGGGGGCCGAAGAGGGGCAGACTCGCGACTTTTGACGTAGCGCGCACCTCGCTGTTTCGGTCACCACGGGGCCGAGCCCACCCCCTCCATTGCTGGGCTCGGTGCTTCATCGCGCGCGCACACTATCTCCAACGAGACGAGGGATGCTGTCACCCGTGATGCGAAGTTGAGTCTCCCGGGAAAGGAAGCGAGAGGATTTTACAGAGAGTTCTCAATGTCCATGAGCTCCTTGATGCCGTCCGCGATGTATTGAGTCCTCTCCTTCTCGAGGCGCTTCAGGGGGCGACGGCCGTAGCCACCGTAGCCGAAGTAGCTGTTGATGGCACCCTTGGTGCCGGGGACGGCGGCCTTGGTAAGGTACCAGTCACCCTTGCTGAGCTTCTTCTGGAGCTCGATGGCCTCCTCCTTCTTGCCCGCAGCGTAGAGGTCCCAAACCTTCACGCAGACCTTGGGCGCGACGTTGGCGCCACCGGCGATGATGCCACTACCACCGCTGACGAGGGTCTGGACGGTGAAGTCGCACATGCCACCAAAGGCCATGTAGCCGGAGCCCTCGTTCCAGGGGGTCTTGGCGTCGGTGGCCAGGGCGACACGGGTCAGCTTGCCGTTGTTGCCGCAGGTAAACTTGGTGCCGATGATGTTCTTGTGCTCGGCCAGCTTGATGAGGAGGTCGCTGTCCATGTCGATGCCGGAGACGGCGCCAGGGTAGTTGTAGAGAATGAGAGGGATGGGGCTCTCGTCGGCGACGGCGATGAAGTAGTCGTGAACGGCAGCCTCGTCCATCTGGGCGCGGAAGTACGAAGGGGGCAGGATGAGGGCGTAGTCGGCGCCGGCGGCAGGGGCCAGCTTCAAAAGCTCAATGGTTCCGCGAACACTGCCTTCGGTGGCGCCAAGGATGATGGGGGTCTGCTCGAAGCCGGCAGCGTCAAGAGCCTCGCGGGTGGCCTTGGTGACGGCAATCTTCTCCTCGCGGGTGCAGTGGGCAGCCTCGCCGTTGGAGCCCATGGTGACGAGGCCAGCAAGGCCAGCGCGCGCCAGACGCTCGGCGTGCTTCTTGATGACGGGGATGTCGAGGTCTTCGGTCTCGGGGTTGAAGAAGGTCATGGTCGGGGCGTAAATGCCGACAGGCAGCGGCCTGGGGGCCGAGTGGCCGTTGGTACCGTTGGAGGCAGTCATGATGAAGATTGGTAGGGTTTGTAAGAGGAGAGGGAGGGAGATTGAGTGAGGCGGGTTGAGAAGAGCAGGAATTGAGAGTGGGAAAAGATACACTGAGTGAAAGTCGAGGAGACCCAGGTGTCGATGGCGTTACTTATATGAGGGGCAGGAGGGAAGCGATGCAGGAGATGTCTCATGACCGGCGTCCAGGGGAGCCAGCTTGCGTGGGGGAAACGGGTCCGACGGTATAAATATTTAGCATGAAAAGAAGACTTGCTCGTGTGGACATTGGTCCGAAGACAGGGAGATCGGGGCGTCGTGGTGTTCCTCGGACCCCAGACCGGCCAAGCTAGCGATCCACCCCCTCCACCCCCCAAGTTTTGGCCCAGTACAGTCAGTGTGCCCAAATTTCCAGTGACGAGCAACCCCTCCATTGTCATTCAGTGACGGAGCATGAAGAAACGTCACAGCCGAGCCCACGTCGCTAGCGGCGTTGTGCGAAGAGCACCCCCTCCTCTTTCTCATCTTGCCTCGCAGGACATGGGTACTGAAGGAGGAAACTGGCCACTAGGCCTTTTTGCCATTTTTAGGGCGTCTTCATCTGAGGCACGGGGCATGGACGAGAGATCAGGGGGTTGTTTTCAATGGTGGGAATCAAAGGGGCTGAAGACGCAGGCAAACGTAAGAGGAAATAGTTGGTACGAGCAAGCACCCAATGGACGGTATGTGGGTATGTAGCCGCACCGATCAGGGGGGGGGGTGAAGAAATGGGACAGAAAAGGCGGAGGGGTGCAGATGAGCCAGTACTGTTCGTTGGAGGGGGAGAGGGGTAGCGGGTAGGCTAGGCGTTTGGACCATGGCCAGCGAGCCAACCGTCGGGTCTCACTCGTTCGAGATTCCAGAGGGACAAAGCAGATACAGCGAGCCGAGCGAGACCATCGCGATGGAGAGAAGACCGCGTCGGAGTGGTGGGGGGCATTTGGTCCATGCCGACATCCGGCGTCTGGCAGACCAGAAGGCGTGTGTCCGTTGTTCGGGACCCCTTTGGATCGACACCACACGATGGGTGAGAGCCCAGCTGCAAGAACGTTGATGATCAACAACGGCGTTTGACTTGATGCAGTTGACAGTCTCGAGACTCAAACCGCAGCAGTTCGTGCATATCTTCGAGACAACAGCCTGCTCGCAACTCGCGCTAGCCGTGGCTTCAGGGAACGGATTGGTTGATGGCTGGCCAGCTGGGCATGGTGATCGCAAAGGACATGATGCAGATGTACGAAAGATTTCCGGGTTGAACGATGCCGTGAGGGTGTCAAATACGCAGTAGCAATTTCGTGATGCACTGAGTTGTTGCCAGAAACAGTGGTTGAAGACGGAGAGAATTGGAAACAGGAAGAGCACTGGCAGTGGCAGCGGAAAAACCGAGAGCTAGATTATCCACCAATTAATTGCGTGACAATCAGGCGAGTGAGACGAGACTTCCCAGCAGCCAGTCACGGTCAAGCCACACATCCCATGGTCGATGGCGGTACAAGGGGGTGCACGGGGGTGCAATATGCGTGAGATCCCCCTCTGTGCCCCTCTATCGCCTTCCGTTTGCTTGCACTTCCAGTTCCAGGGTGTTTGCCTAGTGGCATCAACCTCCAATACTCTGAGATTACATGCATCACCATCTCGAATTCCCATCCGACTTTAGCCTGTGAAGTGGCTGCGGTGACAAGGTGTCGGTGCTCCTTAAGGTCTTGCATGGAATCGTGATACTGTTTTCTTTTTCTCCCTCAAGGGTCATCCGGAGAGACTCGAGCTGTGGAAAGAACACTGCATTCTGCCAGGCGAAGAATACTCGGACCACGAATGGTCTCGACCCTTTCAGCATTTGCATTCTTCGCATGCCGACCCCCCTTGGAACCCCTCCATCATCCCTGGGTGTGCCCTTACTATCCATGTCCCGGCCACGCGGGGAAATCATACGTGGGGGCGGGGAGGTGCCTCGTTGGGGGGCTTTGCATTGTCGAGCCTGGGTTCGTTTTTTGCGCCGTATCCGCCTGGAGTGGCTTCTGGGCGCATCATCTGGACTTCTGGACTTCTGTCAACAATCAGGAAACGAACGCTGGCGGCGTGTGAGACATGTACAGGCCTGGTGGGTATATGCTGTGGTCAATAGCTCAGAGGATAGCATTCGCAGAGACAGCCCCCAGTGACAGGCCCCAGCCAGCTCCACGCCTGTACCCCATCTCCATGACTTGCCGTCCAGGCTCGGTTGTCACGGCCGCGCGTGCTCTCCTGGCTCCAGCGCGTTTGGAAACCAGGATGATTGCGTCTAAGGCTGGCTGTTTGCTTGCTGGCTGGCAGCCTCTCCATCGTTGCCTCGCGCCGACTGCCCGGTGACGGAGCGCGGGGCGCCTTTATCCCTCCAATTGCTTCCCCTCTTCTTGCCCCTCAATTCTTCCGCCATGTTACGGTGCTCCATCGTTTGACCCTGACCGTTACAGGCGTCCCGCGCATGGTCGCAGCCTCAAGTGAGCTTGACGATATCCTAGCTTGCTGATCGTGCCGCAAGCCATTCCTACCGAGAAATTGTACCTCTTGCTATCGGATCAACCTCCCGAAGCTGCCCGCTGTTCCCTTGAGCCACCTCGAGCCGTTTAAAAGACAGCCTCGCGCCATCTCCTCTCTCCTCAAGCTCCATCTTCCTCCTCATCTGCCATCCCATTCCACTGTCCGTCCTCTCACTCTCCTCCTCCCAGCAAAAACCTCAGTAACGCTGTCACAATGGGCGAGCCACTCAACGTGTTGATGGTGAGTAGCTCGAGAGCAGAACGCCGTCCTTCTGCGATCTTTGTCTAACCTCCGCAGATCGGTACCGGTGAGTACACTACCGGCTTCGTTGGCGGCGGTGCCTCTGGCTCCGACAAGAAGGTTGGTGTCATCGGTCTGTCCCTGTTCGACCTGAGGCGGCGCGGCAAGGTCAACAACTTGTCGATGGCCGGCACCAACGGCACCAAATTCCCCGCCATCCGCGAGCACCTCGACAAGAACATCTCCAAGGTCTACAACAACCTCGACATCTCGTTCGACTCGTATCCCGCCAACGACGTCAAGGACGCCGAGTCTTACAAGGTGGCCATTGACGCGCTGAAGCCTGGTGACGCCATCACCATCTTCACGCCCGACACTACCCACTTCCCCATCGCCCTCTACGCCATTGAGCGCGGCATCCACGTCCTCGTCACAAAACCCGCTGTCAAGCTCCTCGAGCACCACCAGCAGCTTATCAAGGCCGCCGAGGAGAAGGGCGTCTACGTCTTTGTCGAGCACCACAAACGCTTCGACCCCGCCTACTCGGACGCCCGCCACAAGGCCCAGAGCCTTGGCGACTTCAACTACTTCTACTCGTACATGTCCCAGCCCAAGTCCCAGCTCGAGACCTTCAAGGCCTGGGCCGGTGTCGATTCGGACATCTCCTACTACCTCAACTCGCACCACATTGACATTTGCGACTCCATGGTCACCCAGCAGGGCTACCTGCCCGTCAAGGTCTCGGCCTCGGCCTCCAAGGGCGTGGCCACCGACCTCGGCTGCGATCCCGCCACCGAGGACACCATCTCGCTGATCGTGCAGTGGGCCCGCAAGGACGACCCCTCGAAGCGCGCGACGGGCGTCTACACGGCCTCCTGGACGGCGCCCCAGCGCGCCGGCGTCCACTCCAACCAGTACTTCCACTACCTCGCCCAGAACGGCGAGATCCGCATCGACCAGGCCAAGCGCGGCTACGACGTCGCCGACGACTCGCTCGGCCAGCTCATGTGGTACAACCCCTTCTACATGCGCTACGCCCCCGACGAGGACGGCAACTTCAACGGCCAGACGGGCTACGGCTACATCTCCATTGAAAAGTTCGTCGACGGCTGTCGCCAGGTCAACAGCGGCGCCCTGAAGCCCGAGGACCTCAACAAGAAGGGTCTGCCGACGTTGAGGAACACAATCGCCACGACGGCCATCCTCGAGGCTGGCCGTCGCAGCATTGACGAAGGCCGTGACATTAAGATTGAGGAGGAGAACGGTTTCTGGAAGCTGGTGTAGACATACCCCTTGTAGACGATGTATGAATGAGATGACAAAATTGATCGTTACGTATTTCCATAACAACTGTTTCCAGCATGACGCGGAGAATTCAGAATGGCGGGGTTTTGCAGCCTAGCATTGGACACGAAGGATCACTTGTGTGGTAAGGGCAAATAAGTAAAAGTATACGTTGACCTCAATCCGAAACGAGGTCGTCAAGAACGTCAAAAATGAAACCTCCGTAGAGATGCGTCAGGAATTGAGCCCAACGGGGGGCTCGAACCCCCAACCTTGAGATTAAGAGTCTCACGCTCTACCGATTGAGCTAGCCGGGCAGGCAGGTTGCTTGTTGTTGCAGGTGGGAGATTCCAGCTGCATTATGTAGTTTTCTCTTTATTCATGGTACGAATAATTGGAAGCCATCCGAATGTGTAACTCCCAGCCTACATGGAATCGCCATGAGGAGAACCCTCTCACTCGTCCATATACTTGCCAGTATTTTCTCATCAGTTTGTCGGCCTCTGCAAGCCCACCTCCAAGATATCCGTGCCTCGACTGTTGTCTCGGTGTGGATCGCTGTACCTCGCCCAGCCGAGCAAAAAGTGCCGATAAGATAAGGCTCAAAATTTCTAAGGGCCCTCTGCGGGATGCAAAAGATCGAGGTCCCAGCACCGTAACGGCTAAAGACATCACCAAGCGAACCTGCTGCTTCAGTCCCCCTACTCCAGTAACCGCTCTCCGATCAAACAACTGCCACAATGGGTTCGCAACGCCAGAACAAGAAGCGCCGCTCCTCCAAGTCCACGATCCGCCAGTCCAACAAGCCCAAGAAGGCCCTCAACCCCCGCGGCAACAGCATCGTCGCCCAGAACTGGTAGGTCGCGCCATGCCCTCACTCTCCTCTTCCTCAAAACGAGATGAGCAAGAATCCCCGTACCTCGAGGCGAAAAGCGCTG